GTTTTATTACATGCCAGTTTTAATACAGAAGAAAAATAAGACTTCTTTGGTAAAAATTCTACACTTGCAACTACAGATCAGTTTATAATAGCACAGCATGGCCGCCTGTTCAGACAAAACCTGCCATGACGGACAGGAAACATCCCCAGGTTAGAAACGCCCGGCGAGCTCCTCTGGCCAGAGCTCCCCCCCGGCAGCCTCTGGCACGGGAGAGCAGCAGGTCTGGGCAGGGGCTGGGCTGCAGGCCGCCCTGAGTCCACTTCTTAAGCAACACCCCACTCACGCTTCGAACACAAGGGGCTACTCCCTGTCCCAACACACGGGCCGCAGTCACGCTGTGCTGTTTCTGGGGCCCCTTCCTTCTTTTTCTCCAGGTTGTAAATGCTGGTCTTTCTCTCACAGGCAGTGTCACTTCAGACGCTGACTGGCGGCAATGTGCATTTACAGGACTACCGCGCACGTGGACTTGAACTAAAACACATCTGCTGTGAACCACCTCGCCTGTCTCCACAGAAGAGCCTCTCACTTTGTCCAGCTTCCCAAGGAACCACACAGCTGTCGGCCTCGCTCCACAGGCCCTCTTGGTGGAGACGGCTCCTCTCTGGGATCCCAAAAGGAATGGGTTCACCCCAGCAACCAGCCTGCTTCCCTCTCATCCCCAGGGAGACTGCCCGCTGGCCCAGCACCGGTCCACACGCCTTGCACCTGGCTGCACCTGACTTCACTCTCCCATTTTCGCACTTCCATCTTCGTTTTCTTATAGCTATTTTTGGAGCTACCTGAAATCCTTCTGGAATAGGTGAGACAGAAATGCATGAATTGAATGAATGATCAGATAGTTAAACATCTAAAAAATTCAAAGGGAAAAAAGAGGGAGGATGACTCCTTCCGGGACCACGTTAGACGACCCCTCTTTGGGGAGGAGAAAGCCTTACAGAGAAGAGCAGGGGCAGGGTTGGGGCGCAGTCCGGAGGGATGCTGGCTCATGCCGGCTCTGGAGAGAGCCCTCCGAGGAGGTAAGCTCTGAAAGGCCTGGCATCGGTGGGGCCCTGGGGGCAAGAACAGTGCCAGGAAAGTGCAGGCTGCTGCTCACAGCACACAAGGTGCTCCCTGAAACGGGGCTCAGAGCCAGGAGAACGGGGCTGACGCCAGGGCTGGGCAGGCCAGGGCATGCCCCAGGGCCTGGGGGGCCACAGGATGGTGCCTGCGGCGCTCAGCTCAGCTGCTGCAGTGTAGGAGCCGGCCCGGTGGGTTCCAGTAAGGCTGTATCTAGGAACAGCGGGATTTCCATTTCATGTAATTACCACGTCACGAAACAGCACATCTGTTCCCCCAACTACTAAAAGATACCAGAACGTCCTTCGCTCACAGGCACACACAAACGGGCTATGGGTAGGAGCTGGCTGTGGGCTGGTTTGCTGACCCTAATGTAGACAGGTAACAGCCTGAGTCAAACTGGAAACCATCTTTCTACTTCTGTCTCCTGCATTAAGGAAAACCATGATCAAATCCTCAAGAATATGGGTGACGAGAAGAGCAAGACAGGCGAGAGATGGCACGCGTGCTCAGTGCGGGCAGGCGTGCGGACAGCAATGCTGGAATGACAATTAGCCATCTCTGCGTGACTGGTTTCAGGGGACTGGTAACAGAAAAAAATTCTCAAAAAAGGACAATAAAAATTGCTTACGTGTGCTTTGGACGTGACTTCCAGCAGAATCCAAAAGCATGTTATGAATCAGGCGGCTTGTGAGCCATCAGAAAGAAATCGAGGCAATCGCTGGGGCCAGCAGGGTCCACCAGGGGCACACGTGAACCGCCAGGAGCACACGTGAACTGCCAGGAGCACACGTGAACTGCCAGGAGCACACGTGAACCGCCAGGAGCACACACACGTGTGTCCTGTTGGGTCCCCAGGAGCACTCACGTAGCATCAGGCCCTGTTTCCCTCATCACAGAAGCAACGTGAGCTCTTACAGAACAAGGGAGAACGGCAAGGCAGCCAAAGAGGAGGAAAGCTGGAGACCACCGTCAACGCCTTGGGGCGGGCCTTTCCGGGCCGTTCTGCACGTTTTTAAAACGAGATCCCATTCACACCCTGGCTTCTCAGCTTCCCTCCCAGCTCCGTTATGCCCTGCCCCCACCGTGCACACTTCACAGCACGCACGTGTTTTATAGAGATCATCGTTTTCAGGATGACTCAATCATTTGCCTTTAAGAAATACCTGCCTCCTACCGAGTAGTATGGAGGATTATTTCTTTTTAAGATTTATTTATTTGAAAGGCAGAGTTAGAGACAGAGGCAAAGAGACAGACACACACATGGCGGGGAGATGGGGAGATGAAGGGGAGAGGGAGAGAAGGAGAGAGGGGAGAGGGGAAGAGGAGTAGAGAAGGAGGGGGAAGAGAAGGAGGGGGGAGAGAAGGAGAGGGTGAGAGAAGGAGAGGTGGAGGGGGAGGGGGAGGGGGAGAGGGGGAGAGGAAGAGAGGTATCATCCATCCACTGGTTCACTCCCCATATGGCCAGAACAGCTAGGGCTGGGCCAGGCCAAAGCCAAGAGCCTAGAACTCCATCGAGGTCTCCCATATGGATTCCTGGGCCATCTTCTGCTGCCCTCCCAGGTACATTAACAGGGTGCTAGATAGAAAGTGGAGCAGCTGGGACTCAAACCAGTACCCATTTGGGATGCTGGCATTGCAGGCAGTGGCCCAGCCCACCGCGCCATAACACTAGCCCCCTTTTTTTTTAAAAAAAGCAACATGCTGATCCATGTGGATAAGTCTTCCTGCACATCTGTAGGTATTTTCTGGAAATTTCTAGAAGAGGAAATGTGAAGATCACAGAATTTCCTTCACGGCCATCCTGAACAGGGCACCGGACAGCAGAGTCTAGCGCACTGAGCCCATGAGAGCGCTTCACCCCACACGTGGGGAGAGTGGGAGGCACGGCGGCACTGCACAGAGCAGCGGCCAAGCACAGCCAGTGCAAGGCAGAGCCCCCAAACTGCTGCAGGGAGACAGCGCCCTGCTCGGCGAGGGGGGCTTGCAGAGACGGAGCGGGATGGTCCCACCCGGGCATGACAGGGGCAGACCAGGGCGGGATAGCCCCCCCCCGGGCATGACAGGAGCAGACCAGGGCGGGATGGTCCCCCCCCCCCTCGGGCATGACAGGGGCAGACCAGGGCGGGATAGCCCCCCGCCGGGCATGACAGGGGCAGACCAGGGCGGGATAGCCCCCCCCCCAGGCATGACAGGGGCAGACCAGGGCGGGATAGCCCCCCGCCGGGCATGACAGGGGCAGACCAGGGTGGGATGGTCCCACCCGGGCATGACAGGGGCAGACCAGGGCGGCCGCTTGCCCCAGGGAACCTGGAGCTCCTGGATACTGGGCTACACGCACCCCTTCCCTCCACGAACGTCTCATGAGAGCCTCCATGTGCTGAGGACAGAGCTGCAGACGTCTCCACTGGTGTCTACAGGAACTCTGGGCCACGCCTCCCACGCGCACGTGCAGGGCAACCTGTCTTCCTGCGAGCTCAGGCGCGAAGAGGAACGTGCACACACCACAAATGTGCGCTGCTTGTTAGACTGCCACTGACGCTGTCTGGAGGTGCCCCTGCACTAAGGGCAGACATCTTCAGAATGCCCCCGGCACACCAGGAGCAGCAAAGGCGCGGCCCCGGGGTGAGGGAGCACGTGCCCCACCCACGGCCCCACCTGGAGGAGAAAGGACAAGCTGGTGATTCACGTCCTTATCAGAGCTCCAGGGACCAAAGCATCGGCTCTGGGCGAGGGCTGGGGCCTGCGGCACTCTGCCTCAACTGTTTTTGGAACGAATCCTAGAAGCCTGAACTTTGCAACACCAAACTGAGAGGGGCCACTCAGCGCCAAGTACTGCTGGGGAGGGGAGGGGGCGGGAGGTCTCTGCTCCCTCCAGCGGAACAACTCGCAGGCCGCTGCCAGCAGAGGGTGGCAGGCTTCCCAGCTGCGCCCTAGCTGCCCAGTGCTGAGCTTGCAGGCCTGACGGAGCCAGTGGGCCCTGCAGGGCATTTCTGGCAGTGTCACACAAAGCAGCCTTAGGCCCTGGCAGAGCAATTTGGTGCCTGCAGCCGCAGAAGAGGCCCGAGCTGCCCGCTGCCATGGGCGGGAGCCTCAGCAGCCTGTTTGGAAGGTAAAACCCAGCCGACTGCCACTCACATGAATGAGACAGGGAGTTTCTGAATAGCTTCCCCTGTGTCTTAAGGCTGTTACCTTGGTATCGCTAATCTACCAGCAGAAATGAAGCGAGACGGCGCCTCACCCAAGCCGCAGGGCGAGCACGCAGCGGCCTGGGGGCAGACAGCCACATTCCTGCCAAATCAGGGGCGCTCTTGTGCACAAACCAACAGCTGGGAAAGCCATCAGAGGACACAGGTAAGGTGGGCGGAGCCCAACACCAGGGCTGGAAAAGGATTTGCAAGCTGCAGAGGGAAAGTCATCTGTTTCGCCAGGGCTTTGCTTGCACGCGTTCCTGTCCAGGGCTGCCCTGCCGGATTTCACAGGCCTGCTACGCACCACTCCGCCACTAAGCATCTGGGGAAATAGTCAGCTTTTCTACAAAATAGGTCATCTTTCCACACTTGTTATGCTCCTTGTCGACTCTGCTGAAATAGCCGCGGCACAGAAGGCATTCTCCCCGGAGATGCTTTCCTTAGACAAACACGTTCCCTCGGCCCTGGAGAGGCGGGCTCCTGGCGCAGGGCCAGGCTCCGGGCTGAAGCACATCCGCTCCTCCCCTGCCCGGCAGGAGACGCAACCACTGGCTTTTGCTTATACTTCCAAACCTATTAGGGAGTGATCATAGCGAGAAAAACTAATACTGACAAGAATTATGCCATTGTTCTATTTCATCTATTTAGTAACCTGAAGTTGCAATTTTTAGAAAAAAAGATTACCTTTTAAATAACCGATTCATTACAGTACATGAATGAATGCCATGTTCCCGTGTTCAAAATGTCACTCACCATTAAGGGCGTGTGCTGGTAAGTGGCCCCGACTTACCACCTCCCCCGTGTGTTCCGACGCCCTGCCTGGCGGCCCAGGGTAATCGCGGGCGAGTTTGTGGGCTCCCTCGGCTCTTAGCGAGTCACCTGCGCTGCCAAGCACCTAATGAATCTCAAGTCTGCAAAAAGGCTTCTACGCTTCCCCTCCCTGCCAAGGTGGAAGGGGAAACTAGGGCTGATTTAGTTCCGGCCAGGCTAACGCGATCAATTTCAAGTTCAGAAATCACAGGCTCCCGCTCTGGGGAGGGGCGGGCAGACCGCCAGTGTACCCTCTGGCCACAACCTGGAGATGAAACAGCCTTGGAAACAGAGGGAGCATGGGCCCCGCTCTGCTCGGCGCCGCGCCCGAGTCCCCGGGAGAAACCTGCCCGGGGCCTGGCGGGTGGACACCGTGCTGAGTCTCCCCTGGGAACCTCCCTTCAAGCTTGTGAAATCCGCACGTTATTTTTCATCATTACTCTCAAGACGCGCTGGGTATCTGGCCCTTCTCTAAGTGCTGGGGCGACACAGAGGAAAGGGAAAGAGAGAGGTGAAGCAGACAGAGGCCAAGGGGGGCAGGGGACATGGGGAGGGCGGTGGCGCCCAGGACGCAGACCCTGGAGCTGGTCTGAGCAGCGGCCCCACATACCTGATATGGCATACAAATTGGAGTGCTGGTACTCATAGTCCGTCCGCGCGCTGTTCCTGCCTCGGAAGGTGGCAGGGAGCGTTAGAGAGATGTGCCTGAGGAAGACAGAGGAGAAAGGGAGGTTAAGGGAGATGGGGCACTCGCCAAGGCTCAGGAAGCACCTGGCGCCATGGACAGCCCAACCGCAGCAGGCGCAGGAAGAGCGCGACCCCCCTCCCCCGAATGCAGGGGCTTCGACTCCAGCAGTCACCTTTGTCACACCCGGAGCCTTATGGTGAGTCTCCGATGCGCCAGGGAAGTGGTGATTCCACCTGGACCTCTGCCCCGGGCGGAAGGGAGCCAACACCAGCCCCTAGAGCGAGCCTTGCTTTGCTTCGCTCCACCCCTGCCCTAGGGCCGCCGAGGACCACAGTGCAGGGTACTTGGTGAACAAGGCATCAGGCATGCTCACACTACGTGCGGCCAGCGGACTGACGGGCTTTAAAACTGCCCAGAACTGTGCGGCTGCGGGCGGGCGGGCAGCAGGTGCGGCAGCACACAGGAGGGTGGGAAGTGCCTCTGATGGACCCTCTGCCGTCTTTTCCAGCTCAGGTGTGGGCTGCTTAAGCCACAATGAACGCACAGCTGAGTATTTGGTCAAAAGTAAATAGTCCATTTGGCATGGCCATCAGCTGCCTTTAGCACATGTTGACAAGAAAGATTAAAGTAACAGGAAAAGCACTCAAAACCCAACAGCTCTGGGGGAAGCCACCACCCCCAAACCTCTGTGTGAGAGCCTGCCTGGTGGTTGGTTTGGAGCAGCTCGGCAGCCTAAGCTTTGGCCAGGCCCAGCCACTTCCCTGAGGGAAGACTGGGGGGCGGGGCATCACTAAAGCAAGCTGTCAATCATGCAGACCTTCCAGGATGACTGCTGTGTGTAAAGACTTAGGAGAGAAGGTCCCCACAGAGCCAGGGCTGAGCTGCAGCCAGCAGGGGTCCCCCAGGGTCGAGGTAAGCGCTGAGGGCAGCTGAGGGCGCTTTCACGTAAACACCTGCGCCATGGACCAGCCACGCTGAACCAAGCGAGCGCCGGCTGTGTGCTGTGGGCCTGCCTGGGTGCAGCACAGGAATCTATTTCTAGCACACGCCAGCATGGACGTGAGCCCCAGCCAGGCGGGAACCCCGAGCGGGCGAGAAGCAGCTGTGAGGGATTCGAGCCGCCGATCAGTGCGCGTCCGACCACAGCACTTGGTCAGTGAAGCCGCACAGAGGAGTGAAGTGTTGCTTGCAGTGCTGACGACAGGCGACCTGCACAGAGTGCTGCCAGGTGCCAGGCCTCGGGGAACCGGGCCGTCACACACTCCTTGTGGCTCCTTGCGGCACCCCTGGGGGGAGCTATGGGGCACATGTGCCGGGTCCACCGCAGGATGCAAGTGAGGGTGCGTGCTTAAACACTATTTACTACTCATTCTGAGACATCAGAGGCAGAGCACAAAAGCCAGCATGGGCCCAATGATGGCAGATCTCACACCAGGACGCTGGCCCAATGCGGGAATGTGCCGGAGTCAGGGACACACGGCGCTTCAGGGCTGTCCGGTTCTAAGATGTCTACACCGCAGTGTGCTGAAAGGTGCCCTCAGCCCAGTCCAGGCCACAGAGCCGTTGGGGCAGGGCAGCGGCACCCCGGGCCCAGAGGCGGGCAGCAGCTGGGCCTGGGAAGACGGGCGGGCCTGGGGGGTGGCAGAGGCAGCCCCCCACTGGGGACAAACACACACGTCACAGGCCTTGGGAACACAGGCGTGGCAGGAGAGCAGGGCAACGGAAGACACCACAGTCACATGAATCCACGGAAGCAGGAAGACTGTGACTGGCAGGGCAGGGCAGGGGAGGCTTTGGAAGGCTTCCCGGAGGAGGTGACGCTGAGGGAACTGGGGAACCTGGGCTCTCTGGCAGTCCTGCGGCCGCAGGAAGTCTGGCTGGCAGGACGCTGGGGCAGCCAGACCTGGGAGGGCTGCGGGGGCCCAACACAAGCCCTGATTTTATCCTAAAGGGCTGTGAGGCAGAGATGTGACCAGATCCAAGTGACAGTTCTAAAGGCCTGCCCGCCTGTGGCAGAACAATGGCCACGCTGCAGGGGAAAGGCAGCCACTGTGACAGACACGGTCCCAAAACTGCCTCCGTTCGCGAGTGCTGTCGCACACCCTCCTCGGGCACGGAGCTGGGGACATTCCCCGGCACCCAGGGCCACGGGAAGCAGGCGCCCGGCCCCTTCGCTGCCCACCTTCCGGGGCGCCCGGTCTCAACGTTCTCGCCTCTGGGCATCGGAGCCCGGACGCCTTCGCACGCCTCGCGCATCCCTGCCGCGGCCTGGCCTGGCTCCCTTCCTGCCATCCCTGCCACGGCCGCTCCTCCCCCCTCCTCAGCCCTGCCAAAGCTGCTGTCTGTGGCTCCGGCCCACACACTGCCTCAGCAGCCACATGCCACAGCAGACTGTCCCTGTCACCTCTCCTCCCTGCCCCAGGAAAAGTCCCCAAAGCGTCCTAATTGGCTGCACTGCTCACGCCTCAGCTGACTCCTCACCCACGCTGCTCCCTCCTCCTACAGTTCCCATTCTTCCTACACTAAACTCCTATTCATCCCTCAAGACCCCACCCACCCAGCCTTTCTTTGCTAAAGCTTTGCTGGGCTGGACTGTGCACCTGTGTGTCCTCTCTCACTCCACCTATCACAATGTATTCTAAATCATCTGCTAGAAGCCTGGCCCCCTACCATGACTGTGACCTTAAGAGCAGGGCCCCATCTTGCGCACTTTGTACCCAAATTTCTAGGGCTATTTCTACCACAGAACAGAAATTACTGAACACTTGTTCACCAAATCAGGTATTGAACTCACTCCACTAAAACCCCTGGCTCATTACATGGGCTGCTGTTAAACCCATTTATTATCTCATCTCTGCACGAATGTGTTTCCCCACTAGACTCAAGGGGTCCCTGTGCTGGGCCGTGCAGCCCACTCCTTGCTGCTACGGAGGAAACAGGTTTGGTGTGAGAAGAAACCAGTGATGGCGGCCAGGTGGCCAAGGGGGGAGAAACGCTTCCGTCAGTGATGGCTGCCACAGCAGCCAGCCCAAGGCCCTGCAGAACTCCAGCTGGGGCGGCCGAGGAGCAGGGCTGTGGAAGGCGCTGTCAGCGGCGAGCAGGGAGCGCCCGTGCCTTAGGGAACGCGCTCGGAGAGGGGTCCCGGGCCATGCTGCAAGCAGCTCCTCTGGCTTTGCTGTTCCTGGACAGAAGCAGCAGACACTGGTGGTGGGAGGCCCCCCAGGGCCCACCAGGGGGTAGGGAGTGGGACTGAGCAGTCTGGGCCGAGGGACAGTGTCTGGCTGAAACGGGACAAAAAGTCTGTGCGGAGGGGGAAGCAGCCAGGGATGCTTTGATGTCGGGAGGGCCTGTGGGTGGACGGCTCTGCACCAGCCAAGCCTCCGAGAAATGGGGCCGAGGGAGCCCCTGCCCTGCCTGGGGCTGGTACCCTCTACCCCATCGCCTGGCCTGTCCCTCCTGGGAAGCTTTTCAGATCAGAATACTGATTCTCGGTACAGAACAGGCAGTGGCAAGGGGCGGAGAGAAAGCTAGAACACACACCCTGTGGTGTTGTTTTAAAGTTGCCCTAGAATCACCTTGACCATCGGGAATACACAGATTCTCAACCAGGACAGGACCACAGGGTCCACCCAAGAGGCCAGGGGCTTACCAGCTCTGCCATTCACTGCTTGCTACCCTGACGGTCCCGGTTCAGCATGCAGAATTAGGTAACCAGCGGCGCCACGTCCCCAGCGAGGCAGGGCACTGCCCCGAGAGTCCTCGGATATAGTTCAAATCCCAGTGTCAGTGCCTGGCAGCCGGGTGGCCTTCGCAAGGGGGTGCCACCTCTCAGAGGCCCCGCAGCAGGCCAAGCAGTCAGCACAGAACCAGAGCGGGCGAGCACACCTAAGCCCTGTAGCTCTGATTCTCCCCACTCCTGCCACCCCTGCTGTTACTTTAGCATCCTGCTCGTGAGGGCCTTGGTGCAGGATCATCACAAAACCCACTGATGTCTTCCCTCTGTGTAGGGCGACCCTGAAACCTCCCCGGGGTCTGGAGGTGCTGCCAGTCTGGGCCCCTCCCTCCTCCCTGCACTCACACCTGCCAATCTCCGCAGCTGCTGCTTGTCCCTCATTGCTGCCTCAGGGCCTTTGCATGTACTATTTCCCCTGCCTGAAACACTGGCTCCTCCCCTTTATCAGAGTTTCCCTCTGGGGACCCGCCCTGAGCACCTTCTGAGGGGCAGTCCCTCACAACATCCTGCCTTCGTCTCTGCAGGGCCCAGCCGGCTCCAGGCTGTCTGGTCTGCTCCTGTGTCACTGGAACTTGTCTCTGCTGCACTTTCTCTTCTCATGATAGCTACAGTGTTGACAACAGTGCCCGGGACACAGCGGACACTTAACCAACGTTAGGAAATCTTCCAAGACTACCTAATCTGGGTCCGGCACTGTGGCGTAGGAGGTAAAGCCGCTGCCTGCAGTGCCAGTATCTCACTTGGATGCCAGTTCAACTCCCGCTGTTCCACTTCTGATCCAGCTCTCTGCTGTGGCCTGGAGGAGCAATGGAAGATGGCCCAAGTCCTTGGGCCCCTGCACCCATATGGGAGACCTGGAAGAAGCTCCTGGCTCCTGGCTTCGGATCAGCCCAGCTACGGGCGTTGAGGCCATTTGGGGAGTGAACCAGCGGATGGAAGACTTCTATGCTCTCTACCTCTGTCTCTCTGTAACTCTTCTTTTCAAATAAATAAGTAAATCAAGCCGGCGCCGCGGCTCACTAGGCTAATCCTCCACCTTGCGGCGCCAGCACACCGGGTTCTAGTCCCGGTCGGGGCGCCGGATTCTGTCCCGGTTGCCCCTCTTCCAGGCCAGCCCTCTGCTGTGGCCAGGTGTTGCTCCCCCTCTTCGTGGAGGAACGACACAGGACCCTGTGCTGTTCTTTTGTCTGCTCGGCCCTCCCCGGGTTTGCTGCTGGTTCTTCCCGGGTTGGCTACCGTCCCTTCCACCTCCGTGGAAGGGCGGTTCCCCCTGGGCACTTTCCC